TCGGTTTGAAAAACAAATCCGCGACCCGCGAATCAGGGATGCTAATTACTGTTATACGAGTATGTCATCGAGTCAGTCATTGTTACATCATAAAAGTTGACGAGGCATTGACGTTAGGCGGGAAATAATAATAGCATCAACTACTTGAAATCATTACGACACAATCAACACGTCAAGAGCGGCTGCCAATTAAATCATATATCACGCAAACAAATTTGCATCTAGATATAATCTCCGCCCAACTCTTAATTTCGTGCAACGTATTATTACTTTGAATTAAATCAACACCTCGTTGCCGACCTTGACTCCCGTGGTATTGTGAAATAGCAGTTAGGTTCCTTCCCGAAGATTGAAAGTGCAATGTTGCCAAACTCACGAAATGCCAGATTGTGAGCTGTGACCGGTCAAGGATAACAGATGTGTTTCAGGTCAAAATATAGATTAATTTCTTAATTCGTGTGAGAGCGTTTATTCAATTTGACGTGGTAGGACGTATTTTGAGGCCGCACGAGTAACGCTGTCCTTTTTTTTTTTCCTACCTAAGCTGATGGTCTAGAGAGGCCATATCAGCGTAACCTTAACTAGTAGGTGAGCTCACGGGACTCAAACCTGACGTTTCGGCCACAAAACAGTCATGCGTTTAGTTAATACAGTTGAGACTTCAACTTAATGTCTCAAAGTGAATGAACGCATTCACATTGTTATATCTATGTCCTTCCCTTCTGGTTGATCCTTTTGGCGCCTACCTGTCCTGATGAAACTGGAAAGATCATCGGGCCACCAAAAAACCTTTCTTCATAAAAATCTGTGGCCTTCGTTGGTTACGGAGTGGTTACTCAGAATAAGGCGGGTTGTAGATATGAGGATTTGAGAAAAAAAAAAGGTGAATCGTAAATAAAAATACATTACAGGGTATAATATCAAATAGAATAAGCGCTTTACTAAGTTCTAACTATACTGAGACCTTAGAACTTATATCTCAAGGTGGATGGCGCATTTACGTCATAGATGTCTATGGGCTCCAGTAACCACTTAACATCAGGTGGGCTGAGAGCTCGTCCACCCATCTACGCAATAAAAAAGCTTTATTTTTATCAAAGTAGCAAAATAATTTCAAGTTCAAGTGTCAAAAAAATGTTACATATTTATATTTATTTACATCGTTCTGACTGCATTGTGGAAAGCCGTTTATAAAATTTATAGTATGAATATTCCTCCTGTTTAATTTACCATTTTTTTCTATTTGTAGTTCCCTATCCTTGACCTTCTTTGTATTGCATTCGCTAATGTGACCTTAGTTAGATTTTTTACTACAAATTTATTCTAATGACCTTATATGGCCACTCCTGTTCGTGGTCAGCAAGTAAATTAAGAGCTATGTCATCGGATGGAATACTTCTCAAAATATTTTGTACTGCATATTAGCTGTTTGACGTGATCTAATTAAGTATTCTTAATTATTATTTTTTAAATTGTATCTATCGAGTTTATTTTAGTGTTAAAGGGGATCAGTGTGTTTAGTGCGAGTATTTTAACGTACTCGATCGCGTAAAAGTTAACTCAAACTTGTATGGAATTAGAACGTTTGCTTACGTTTGCCGCTAGGGGCGCTGTTCCAACTGCATACAAATTTGACTTAACTTTTACGCGATCGAGTACGTTAAAAACTCTCACTAAGCACACTGAATGTGAAAGAGGATATGATATACGTAAAAGGAAAGTAAGAGATTCTCTGGTGAATGGGTAGAACCGATCCCTGACTGCTATTATAACCGCGTACAGCCTTCGTCATCCAGCATACACTGGTGGCACGGAATGTTGTAAGCCAGCACGGATAGGTGTCACCATTCAGCCTGTTTCTGACTCAAACCAATCCCAGTTTGAAGGCAGGGACAATTGTTTACAATAAAATTGAATATGCGGCCTTATGACGCCATTAGACCCTTATTATCAAAATAGATTTTAACCAATTTATCTATTTCAAAAAAATACTAACTAATAGTCGAAAAGCAATCTATTTTTAAAAACTTAAAAAATTATATAGACCGTTTTTTCAAATGTTTTGTAAATATCAATAATAAAACAAAAGAGAACGTGTAATATATAAAATTATTCATCTTGTGGTATTATTGACTATGGTATTAGACGCTTTATATTGGCATTAATTTGCATTGCAAATAGCTTTCATATGCGCCTAATAAATTTCTACAGCTCCACATGTTTGTTTAATTCGACGCCGTCTGTGCGATTGAGATACGTTTTCATAACATGCGCTTCTCAGCTATTGCAATGATCGACAAACGAGATAAGAGATGAGCACATAATTGAACGTTTAAAGCACTTATCTGTTCACACATTACGTGTAATTAGATGAAAAAGTTCGAAGTTCTTTCGAAAAGTGCTGGACGAGGTTTTGACTTTCACATCGTATCATAAATGTAATTGATGCTGGGGGCAATTCCGAGACGGAACTCGCCTTCGTGTGAACGAATAGATTTGACGGACGACCTGTTGTACAGAAAAAATAGGCGTGGAATTAAAATGTACGACGTCACGGTTCATCACTCCTGCAAATAGATGAATTTTCTAGAAAGTCCAGAATATACTGTTTTGTTTTAGTATTGTTTATTATTATATAGGTGTATAGCGAAGGGTGAAATACTATTTGGTTTAAACGACATTTCGCTTAATACGCGACATTTAGATTTTTTAATTAAAGTTGCATTTTATTTGGTACTAGCTGACCCGGCAGACATCGTAGTGCCTCAATCGAGAAATAAAAGACCTAAACTATTGTATAAAATAAACTTAAAAGAAACAAAAGGAATCCGTCCGACGGGGGACACATCAAAGGAAAAACAAAATTGTTATTTTTTTTTAACTCCGAGCATTTTCATTCATTTATCTACCTTTTAAACCTTCTTTGGACTTCCACAAATAATTCAAGACCAAAATTAGCCAAATCGGTCTAGCCGTTCTCGAGTTTTAGCGAGACTAACGAACAGCAATTCATTTTTATATATGTAGAAGATAGAAGATTAACATCAACAGTTCGATGTTTTTAAATTAAACTTCAATTAAGTTTACTCCATCGAAATACCTGAAAAAGTGCTTTTGTTGTGACATTTTTTCCAAATTTTAAACTTTTAATAGTTATCCCGTAAAGTTGCAAAAATGTCGTTTAAATAAAATAGTCTTTCACCCGTCGATATGTATAGTAAAAATCAAACCAAGATATTCTTGTGTTAACTGAGGATTACTGGTAGCCCGGAGGCCTTTCCAGTTTGGACTTGCACACAGTACCATTGGATAGTCATAACGGGGTTAGTCATAACCGGACGACCAAAAAGTAAATGACACAGGGTGAAGCCAAAGATGGTCAAACGCTAATACCAAATATATAAAATGATTGAAAGTCTCGTGCAGAGGCCATAACGATTTTTCGTTACGTGATGATTTCATCCAGTTAACTTCAACGCAAGCCAATGTTTCCCGCAAATGCATTTGCTATCGATCTCTATATTTCATTACGGATTTACGAAATATTAACACATTTACTTTAACGACAAATTTTATACTTAACCGAGTTAATGAATGTTGTTTTGTGAAATTTTACTCTGTTATCGGTTTCGGGAAATATGTCTTCACACCTTGTATTTTTGACATCATTGTCGTAAGTACACTCGGTGCCGATACACAACAAGAAAGTATGATATAAAAACGCTTCGATCAATAATAGTACTAATAATAATAATATATCAATAATAATAATAATCAATAAGTAAAAACGGTTATTTTTTTCCATATTAATGATAGAATAGCCGTAGTTATAATATGCTGTCCTATTTATTTATTTATTAAATTTAATTACAGGGACTTGTACAAAAATCCAAATCGCCGAAATGCCATATACATAAATAAGTCATATAACAACAATAAAACAACGTCTGGCAAAATAAATAATTAACAGTATCAAATTAAAAAGTTAAATTATACCATCATACGGAAGAATAAAGTGAACAATCCGCGAAATCAGTATTACATTATTACACCATCAAATTATGTGCCATATAAAAATATATTATTAACATAATATCTATGTATCATTAACAACAAAATCATAAATTTCAGATAAAAAAAAATACAGAACAGAAATATAAACAGTATGTCAATTGTTACAGTAAAATTATATTTTTAGCTTCTCACAGTCATGCACAGACGCTCATAGAATAAATTGATTGGTAATTGTGAGTCAGGCGCTAATAACAATAGCCGGTGTAGCAAATCAAGATGCTTTGCCATTGTTGACAACAAAACCTGAACCGGTTGCTTTAATCAAAATAAGCTCATTAAGAAATAACTGTTGTTTTTACATCATCCTATCTAAAATTATAATTGCCGTTTTTATTACACAAAAAATACAAATACAAACAATTTTAATTACTAAATAGGAATAGGATTTTTAATAATGATTTCGCAAATATTAAAAAAGTTGATATATTCATAAACACGATTTGAACTATTGTGTGAATTAAACAAAATTACAGTGTAATTGACAAATCACGTAACATTAGTATTATTCTATATGAAATATATGCAATTTACGAATTTAATAGCTTCTATTTGATTACGTTAAATGCAAGAAGTAACATTTTTTTTGTTAATAAAAATTATTGTCTTGATAATTTCCATAAAGCTATAAATATTATATGGGAGCTGGTTGTCCTGATATTATGTAACAAATGTGTCGTGATGTTCTGAAGATATGTCTTATGATGTATTTTTTAAGTACGTGATTCCGGCCTTTTTAATTCATTTCACAATTTCCATTATTCATTTCTTCACATATTTCTTTTGGAAGACCGATACGTGCAAAGCAAATTTCTAAAAGAATACCTATTTATTCAACGCCCAAATAATTTTAGTATCCCTGACATTGTCGGCGATAAAACAAATCACAGAAAAGACTTATCGTAATGTTGGTAATTAATTGTCCACAGAGTTTCTTAGCAGCGAACGCAAAATGCTGGTGGGCTGGCGCCTTGGCCGCGGCCACAGCGGAGCTTCGGTACGCCGGGTACGTGTCTCCAGGAGTTCTTCTCGTGGCAGGGGCTCCTCGAGCGCTGGAGACGGTGCGAGGGGCTTACTCGAGGTCCGTTCTGAAACCTCCGCCTACTTACCTCATATGTGGACTTGGTGAGTACACTTAAACTCATTGTTATTGTTTTCATATTTTTTTTATTGCATATATGGGTGGACGAGGTCACAGCCCACCTGGTGTTAAGTGGTTACTGGAGCCCATAGACATCTACAACGTTAATGCGCCACTCACCTTGACATATAAGTTCTAAGGTCTCAGTATAGTTACAACGGCTGCCACGCCCTTCAAACCGAAACGCATTACTGCTTCACGGCAGAAATAGGAAGGGTGATGGTACCTACCCGTGCGGACTCACAAGAGGTCCTACCACCAGGTAAAAATACTTTAAAGTATAATAATCATCATTTTCCTGATAAATAATCCATAAAATTTCATCAACCAAAAAAGTTATTGCAAATAAGTGAGCGGCAAATTGGTTTGTGCAAAACATTTTAGTGCCAACCTTGTTTCGTAAATAAAGATTAAAAATGAGATAATTTTAAGGACCAACCTAATTTCCTAGTCTTTTAAATAAAGAAACTTTTTGTGTGTAAAGCTTGTTCTTAGGTACATTATTTCATACAACGATTGCGTGTTAAGAATACAAGTGATTACTTAATTTTTAGACTACACACTACATAAGACGGTGTTTTTCAGAGAAGTTGTATTTTCATAATATTTTTTCGGGTGGCACGCAATGAATGCCAATTTAAAAGCAGCTGACACCCAATTTACTGTCACGCGAGATTGTCGGGTGACATCCGCTAGCTATCTTCGCGAGTACGTTGCGTGTTCACGACATATAAACACACCAAAATCAGTATGTCATACTAATTTTAGCATAGTAATTTTCTAACACGTTTTTAATAGTTTATTTCTAAGATAGTTAGGGCGAATTTACATTACGAAATTAGTGGCATGAAATTAATTTCGTGACATTAGTTTTATACAAAAGCTTCACGTGTAATTTAACATTTTCGTAATGCATGCATTAATTTCATGAATGCAAATAAGTTTCATGCCCTGCGCGATTTTTTGGTGAAATTAGTGTCTTGCAACTAATTTCACAGTGTAGACGCGACATGAAATATATAGTGTCGCGAAAGCGCCTGCGCTTTCATATCAGCGACAAGATTGTCTCTGGGACCCGAAACACCTACAGTAAAAAGCAGCTACTCTTGAGCTGTTAGGTTTCCTTCGGAGGCGCTCGGGTAGCTGTTAGCAAATCCCAGCCCTCCTGGCTGAGCCTTTGCTCGCCCACCTGTCCTGGTGAAACTGGAAAGGCCTCCGGGTCACCAGTAATCCTTCAATCATTAAAAAAAAAAAAACCTTTTTATTATTCTCTGTGCGATTCGGTCGTCTTTTTGAAGGTTTCCTGTGTTCTCTAAAATAAGTAAAACTGGATATTAACTAGTGTACGAGTCATATTATTCTTGTTCTCACGGCACGACAAAGGCGGCTTGTTCTGTATGCGCATCGACAAGTGATCTCAGATGCGCGGGCGCAATTGCCTCTATACAGGAAATGCACAGTATGACGTGTTCACATCGTTTGATCGTTTTGATTACACATAAATGGAGGTTTTATTTTTATTTTAATGAAGTTACATCCAACTTTTGATTTGATAGATAAGATTTTCTTGTACAACATTGTTATCATATTTTTATTCATAGATTTGTAGTGTTTTTTCATTTGTTTTCAATCTTTAGACAATTGAAACGGGTTTGTAAGCCAGAGGCGACTTTTAAAAATTATAAGCGTTATAAACCACTCAGCACGAGACAATGCAAATCATTTATTGTATTCAATTATTAATGACAAACATTTTAGGTAACCTTATCTCGACTGGTTCTTGCATTTTAATGTATACATTTAATCAATTGTATTTGTCTTGCCTTTATTATTATGTGATAGGTGTCACGTACACAAGCTCCATAATATAGTTGAAGGTACTTTGAATAAGTAATTCGGTAATTTAATTCATATTACGGGTGGTAGGACCTATAGTGAGTCTACACGTGTAAGTACTATTTCTGCCGTGAAGCAGTAATGCGTTTCGCTTTGAAGGGTGGGGCAGCCATTGTAACTATACTTGAGACCTTAAAACTTATATCTCAATGTGAGTGGCGCATTTACGTTGTAGATGTCTATGGGCTCTAATAACCACTTAACGCCAGGTGGCTGTGAGCTCGTCCACCCATCTAAGCAATAAAAAATAATCGTGAATGTAATATTCGTTTTTGTTCTAAAGAGAATAACGATTAAAGTTAGAAATTTTAATCTGTGAAATTATTTTAAATACAAATCAAATAGTCCCAGTAACTTTATCTTTCTTTTTTTAAATTTATTAGGCAAAATATATACATTATCAACTAAAAAATAATAATTAAATATAATAAACGTTATTGGCGGCATCAGCACCAAAAGGGGGTAGCTGCTAGATTACCGACCAGATTATTAAAATGAATATATACATACAAAAATCTCGTCGTTAATATCTATGTCATTAAACGATTGAATAACACAGAGACACACTTTCGCATTCACACTTTAATTGTATAATAGAGTGACTTACTGATTCTTTGTTATGTAATCGTCAAATTGTATTTATGACAGACCTACGCTGCATGTTGGCCTCGCAAGGACAGCTCTGAGCTCTGTATGTAATTTTTTAATTAACGCCTGCAAAATCGCATGTAATCTTCTTATGGATAATTAATTTTAAATAACTTTACGATATACACGTATAAGTCAACGTCAAATTTGTTCAGATTTCACAGCTGCATTAAGTTTTTTTTTGAAATGAAGAATACTTTTGTTATGAAATTAAAAAAATATTAAATTTCAAATTTTTTATGATGTGAACGCACGAAGAAACTCAAAATATGTCTACACTCTTCTTAATAAAAAAATAGATATTCCTTAATTTTCACGCAACACTTACCTGAGCGGGTTGAAAGTTGAAACACTGTAATCTTTTTTTTTAATTCCAAAGAAATTTCTACTAAAGAACTATTAATTGACCAAAAGTGGCGTGCGAGTCATTTTGATAAATGTATACATATATTTAGCGACATCCACGATTAACTACTTGTTCAGTAAAACAATGGTACCTTAGCATTAAACATACTTAGGCATACATATAAAATATAACTTTGAAAGTGACATACTGTTTGGTTGTTACTGATTGCACTTTCCGCTTACGCCCACGGAGCGGCCTTGCAAGGACGCCTCGGTATTATGTAATTATAAACCGCTCATCGCGTATTGTTATTGTAATGCTCTTCCATCAATGTCGCATAGCTTATTACCGTGTTTTGTGATAGCAAATTATAATTCACATTCAACGAAACGACACCTGTTTTTGGGTTTGCTAATCGGACATGTTATTGGCTGGTCAATACATTCAATTCCGTGTTTCAATCAAACAGAAAATATTCTACGTACTGTATTTTTCTGAGGCAAAATAAACTGGCTTTCTAGTTTTAAGAATCGGATAATCCTTATTCCTATTAAATAGATAGTTTCGACTAATGCCTATGCAAGAGTGACGACCTTCGTTCTGTATACATATTAACTTTGATCTGCTCCAAAATGAATAAAAACAAGTACAAAAACTGACTGAGACCAACTCGGGTGATACTAACCACTCACCCAACGAACCAATGTCGATTACGCTTTACCAGAACCGAAAGATATGATTTACTATCTACCTAGAGTGAATCTACTACCGGATCGGGACCGAATTGGAAGATCCGGCGAGAAAGTCAGCGAGCTGATGTTATTAGCTAAGTGTGATCCGATTTTCTATCATTAGAACTATGCAGTAGCATAAAATATCACCGAAATTGAATCCTTTAGATGACTGATGCGCAAGATAAGTCGAGTTATCCTGTTGCAAAAGCTGCATAGTGAACTATTAGCCTATATATGAAGACAGTAACTAAACATTTCTAGCAAGAAGATTAATTCGTATTTACACTAATAATCATCTCGATATAGGTTCACACGGATATAGTGGCAGCGTCCATAGGAAGTGACACCGGAAACACGTAATTAGAGAAACGGAAAGATCAAATGATTTAAGGAGAATCAATCAAATCGAACGGTATACTGAACCTATTTCAATTTTTACAGTTGTGTTTGAGAACTGTCTTCAAGTATTACAAGGTATCTGCTTACAATGAGCACTTGCTAAATTGTTGACGGTATTCATATCGTCATGATCGAGAAATCATTTTCTTTATTACTCAATTAAAGTTACGTGGACAGTAGTACCATGATAGAAATAAGTGGGGGAGTATTGGTTATGCGATGAGAGTTGATGGTGAAAATAGGGCTACTAAGACAGATGTTGAGGAAGATCTGTAGATCCTTGTGAAATTTACTGATGGTAGGACTTCCTGTGAGTCCGCTCGGGCAGGTACCACCATCCTACCTATTTCTGTCGTGAAGCAGTAATGCGTTTCGGTTTGAAGGGTGGGGCAGTCGTTGTAACTATACTGAGATCTTAGAACTTATAATGTGGGTGGCGCATTTACGTTGTAGATATCTATGGGCTCCAGTAACCACTTAACAACAGAGGGGCTGTGAGCTCGTCCACCCGTCTAAGCAATAAAAAAACTCTCACGGTCGCATGAATGGAATATGAATCCCTCCTATCAAAATCTGTTATATATAGATGTCTCCAAACGCGAATCTTTGATCGCATTGTATAAATGTATGGACTTGACCATTTCAAACTGAAACTACGTCAAACAACTTATGTAAATCTTAGCTTAGTTCCGTAGCGAGAATAGTTAGCACTCATTGTGCGGTGTGCGTGACTAGAAACAGAAATGTGTGACATTGAAATACGCGATGGCGTTTATAGGTAACGTTTGTAATGTCGGATTAAAGTCAATATTCTTTTTTTTTAATTGTAAAGGTTTTAGTGATAAGATTCCTAATTGTACAGATTATACCTATCGATCAATTTTCAATGTAGTTTATGTTTTTGGTATGCAGCACATTCGATAATATAAACAACAACAAAAAAAGATTTTAACTCATGTAT